CCAACGCCAGCAGAGCTGAGACAACAGAGTAACCCAGATTGACGTCGTTTAATTTGTAGAAATGCTGTCTCAGACTGACAACAGATAATGTTCACTGCTACGGTAATTTTTACGTACCTCGTCGCCAGCAACTCTGCCATGTCCTGTCTTGTCATCCAACGTGTCTACGGCCAGTGCACGGTTCCCAAGTGAGAGAAGTTTTGAATATGTATCCATTCTCGTTACGGGAAGTTTTATCACACCAAGCCAGAGGCCGTTGCCTGAGTTGATCTGACTGATTCCTCAGACCGGTGATCGTCAGTGCCTGCTCGTGTTCCGATGGTACCATCGCACTTTGAGAGTACTGAGGGGTCAGAGTGGATAGAAGCTGTCTAGCCGATGTTTCGAATCTGCACATGAGCACCGCGAATACGGCTACTAGCTGGATGGTTGTCTTTGCGTAAGTTCTTAGATTTCCATCTTACTGTATGCTATGCGGATTGCTGAAATTCGCATTCGGCATGTGTATGTTGATTTAAATGTCTGAACCATCAATCATGCCAGCTAAGCGAAAGCAGTTTCGGAATTCGATGCTTTTACAAGCAAAAGGTCTTCTGTACTGGTTGGGATTTGTGTAAACTCTATCTTTAAGCCCTATCGTGTATGAAATCAGTTTGAGTTTATTACTGTCGTACAATGAGGTGTAAAATGGACATTCGACGATGCATGTTAAGCAATGTGAAATAAAAACAAGGAATGGTAGGAAAGTCATAAAAAAGTTTATCTTCTTCATCTTCATCTTCCATCGCTGCTTCTCCTTTCGGGTTGCGGAGGCACACGAGTCAGACAGTGCTTCCAACGTTCCCGATCATGTGCCAGAGTCTGAGCTTCGGCAAAAGGCAAATGCAGTCTGGAACAGACTCCTTCCATATGTTTGCACCAGGCTAATCTTGGCCGTCCCCTGAGCCTTCTTCCGGTCGGTTTCGCAAGAAACATTTGCCTAGCCTTCCTTTCTGGAGGCATTCTTGCTCGAAAAGAGGAGGGCCGGAAACCGTGGCGAAGTCGTCCCTGCCACTCATGGTATTGGCGTCATCGAAAATCATACCGGCTCGGTCGTCGCCCGGGTTACCAAGGGCAGCGCAGGCTGTTGGGGGACTGAGGCAGACTGCGAAAAGTCGGCTCATCGCCCTCTGCCAACCGGAGGCGTAGCAGCACAACAACGGATGACGAAGACCGACGGAACAACGACGACGATACCGGTTAGCAAACGTATCTGCGCACTCCTGCCGCACAACCTAACATTAGGCAGTGACAGTGGCAGTAAGAGAGACTTCGCGTTGGACAGAACATCGAATCAGTTTCATAATAGTATGCACGGATTACCAATTTTTCGTTAACCTATACATCAATATATTACAGTTTGCCTTATGTTGTATATTA